CCGCCTGGCCCCTCTGTGCCATGTTACGATGTGGTGTCTGCTGTGGGGAGTGGGGGGAGGGGAGCAGGGGGCGGCGGGGGTGGCGGGGTCCTGTCCTCTCTGCCTTCTCTTTCTGGGGTGGCTCCAGCCTTCCCTGGCCCCCACAGGAGGCTGGGAGGGAGCAGGGTCTCCCTCAGGGCTGCAAGGGAGGGTCCAGGGCAGCCCCCGGATGGGCTTCCCTGATGGGCTTCCCTGATGGGGGTGGGGTGGAGTGGGTTCTGTCCATCGCCCAGACAGGGCAGCCCTGTGTTATTTTATACAATAAACGTTCTCCACCAACTGCTTGCCTCTCACTGTCCCCCGCCCCGCGCTGCCTGCCCCTCTACCCTCTTGTCCTCCCAGGGACAGTAGATGGGTCTGTAGCCCCACACCTGCTTGAGGGAACTGCCCCAGGTCAGAGCGGGAGTCAGGGCACCTGGCAGGTACAAGGAGGCCTCCTGCCCACCAGGGCAGGGCAGACCCACACCAGGACTGGCCTCCACCTCCCCTGGCTGCTGCTAGGGGGCGTCCAAGCAGAGGGCTAGGACGACAGGCATGGCATCGCGGAGGGCCACGTGGGGACAGCAGTGAGTGTTGCCGAAGTCGGATGCCTCGGATGGGCAGAGGCAGACAGCCTGGGGAACCTGAGCTGTGGCCCAGGGGCTCCGACCTCACCCTGGAGGCTGCAGGGCTCCTCCAGGCAGACACAGGGTGAGCAGATCCCTGCCGGCTCACACTGGGCCCCTCCCTACGGTGCGTGGGGATGGCTCCCATGGGCTCAAGAGAGACTGCTGAACTTTCGGGAATTTTGCAAGGCAGCTGTTAAACAGCCATTACTAATCAAGTTATACAAACTCATAATTAGTGGTACTGGAAACAAAACGAACCCTCCAAACGTACCAGTTCCTGGCCACTTCTGCGTACCACCCTACGGCCCACGCCCTCGGGCTGCGCGCCTGTGGGTGTGAAGTATGGCAATTGTAGGGTGCAGGTGCGGCACACCAGCGAGCTGGGGTTCAGCTCAGCGACCTCGAGCTGGCAGCTCACAGCCAGCCCCCAGAAATGAGCACCCTCCGCAAGCCCCATCTGCCCCCTCATCTAGGCTTAGGAAGGAGGTGAGAACCCGGTTCCACTTGTGTGCTGTGTGCGCTCGTCACGGAGAGCTGGGAGCCTGAGCTGGGGCCCAGGGGCTCGGGCAGGAGAGGCTGGGTGTCCAGAGCTGCTGCCTGACTAAGTTGTCCGGGCCACAGTGAGTTCACGGTGCATCCTCCTGCCTCCCGTCTTTTCCTCGCTGACTGCAGAGACTGACTGACACGCACATCAGAACAGACTCACGGAGCTGGCTGTGAACACTGACGAGCTTTCCAGTGCTCCCACCCCGAACTCCCAGAGGGACCAAAGGCTACCCTTGGCCAAATTCACTGCCTTCCAGGACCAGCAGTTAGCATAATAGCTACGTAACTGGACTTCAATGTAGTCAACTACGGTTCAAGTCCCAGACCAGGTGGCTTGAAACTCATGCTGGGCACATGTGCATGCATGTCCAAAATCCCGAGAGGAGAATGGAGGAGAAGGGATTGCCACGTGGCCATCTCCCCTGGAGGGTGGTTTCTCGCTTTCTATCTCTCTCTATCTGTGTGGCGAGCGCACGTGCCCTATAGCAAAAACCTCTCCAAAAAAAAATTTTTTTCACTGCCTTCCTTAGGAGCTGACCTGTAAGCTCCTACCTGTCAGTCCCCGGTGGGCCTGCAATGTGTCTGAGGGATCAACAGCCACCCGGGACCCACCCGCCAGCCTTGCCACATTCCAGCAACTCAAGAACCTGCAGGCGGCTGAACAGCATATGCAGGTTTATTGCAGGGTAGGGCACACGAGAGCCCAGCATGGGTGAGTGTGGATGGAGGGGCTCAGGTGGCCAGGAAGCCCCCATCCACTGGACG